CTATTAGTGGAGTTTAACCCCTCTGTTCAGGGAGTCATAGCCCCTCAACACACCAGGCGCCATTCTTTCTGCACCACGTTAACGTTTTACTTTTCCACCCTCCCCACCCACACTGTTCACTTTTGTCCTAAGAGGGCAATTAAGGAAACAAACGTTTTCCCCAAGATAAGCTGGCTGCCAGCTTTGCATACTAATGCAATGCCAAGTGGTTGCAAATACTGAGTGCTCTAATTACCGGTACTATTTTCAATCAGAAATTGCTCAATTTCCCAGGATGAGGTCTCTATAGCTGTAAAAAAAAAACACATGCAACCTGATAGAAGCAGGAGAGAATCATCTCCATGTGGAGGGAGGTTGATTTTCTCTGTGTGTGTGTGTGTGTGTGTTCATGTGCTCACATGTGTGCACATATGTTGTGAAAATAAATTCATCCTCCTCTGTGTGTATGGACCGTGGAATGACCCACTCCATTGCTGCTACCCTTGACAAGTCAAGAAATGGATCCTGTCAGCGTTGACAGCATTTAGCACCGCAATTATCCCCTTTCACAGCCTGGCTGCATCAGTGTAAACCACACCAGGCAGCAGTTGCCACTCAGTGATGAGAGGGATGTGGTGCACCATCTACTTGGTGAACAATTTGGAGCAATTGTGTTGCTTTGTGATCATCAGTGCAAATCAAGGTCTCCTCATTTATTAAACAATTTCTGCTAGTGCAAATTAGAGGGACAGCTCTTTTAATATAGCAGGTGACAGAAAGCAATATAACTAAAAGAAGAAATAGTGCACAATGTTGCTGACATCAAAGTACTAAAAGAAGAGTGGAAGTGTAATTGAGTGGGATTCATCAATTCATCAGGGAGAGGTCAGCTATATTGAGCGGTCAAAGTGACAAGGACACACTCCCTGGACATGGGAGTGAGTCAGTCCATAGGATGCACATGCAGGACCCATCCAGTGGCCTAAGCTGACCTTTGGCTATGACGTTGGCTAATAAAGGGCTGGCCCTTGATCAATCCATTGCGAAGCTGGGCTCCTGATCCCTGGCCTTTCACCGGGGCCAGGGCAGGGTGAGCGCTGCCAGGAGCCACGCGGCGGAGCCAACGACCCTACCACTTTCCCATCCGTGGGTGACAGCTGCAGCGCCAAGGAGCCTGGGGACGCCACGCTGCCCTGCCACACAGGAAGGACAGCCAGCAACTGTGTCCCGATGGCGAAGGAGGGAGAAAAAGCCACCAATGATCCACTTGTGAATGTCACATTCATTTAAATATTCTCTACATATGATGCTGCGATGACCTGTACAAGATAAATCTGGAGATTCGGGCTGTAGTGTTTTTAGCTTGAAATGTGGCATCTCAAACTGTTTCACAGACCTTTTTTTTTTCTTTAAGTTCCAATGTATGATCCAACACAAAAACCTCTGAAAAAAAAAAAAAAAAGTTTTCTTTTTTTATCAGTTATTTTTAAACTGATATTCAAAAGATATAGATGTTTTATTCAGTGGAATACTTCAAATGTTTATTTCTTGATTTTACACTTAATGTACAGTAAATACAATGTTATGATTCTCAGAAGTTTTAAGAAGGCAATTTTATAATGAAAGTCATTCCACTGGAAATTAAGGCTATTTACTGTACAGTGAATGCAATGAACCCTTGCTCTGCGTTGATTTTGTATTCTAGAGGAAATCAGCAAAGGGCTTTGCTCAGTATGTTGACAGCTGAGATCTTTTTCTCCTTTGTCTAGTTAAAGCATTTCAGTGGATGTTTCTAATTTAGCAGCGACTTAATAAAAGGGATGCAGCAGTTGTAAGCATTATCCTCAATAGTTCTGGTTGCAGTTGTTATTGAAGCCTTTGTGGACCTCTAGCCCTTAAAAGGGGTTTAGGTTTCAATTCTATTTAGACTCTGTTGCCCATGCACCACTTTCTGTTATACATTTCCCTTCCAGTAAACTTTCCAAAGAATATCTTCTTACTTAGCATTAACTTGAAAAATCGCTTTTTTCACAATGATCTTTTTGTAGCTTAAAGCCCTATTAAAGGTTGCCAATAGCTGGGCTTTCTTTACAAATGTGTGCAAAACTTTTGATAATCAGCCAATTTTCCAAAATGCAAATTTTGCGATTGCAGCATTTCAGTTATATAAGAAATTGAATAAAAATTGCTCATGAATATGTTGTTCACGCAATGACTCCTAAAAAAGAACAACAAGCTCTAGCCAAACTAAAATGTGCGCCATCATCAACTACTTCGTGTCTACTTCTTCTTTTTACAAGGCAGTGAGGCCAAGCTACAGTCCAACTGCAGATCAGTTGACTTGTGTGATGCAAAAAAGTTTTTCCATTGCATTTTTTTTATCTATGATTTTCGATATGACGAAAGCCCACTTTTTTGTTTGAAATTTCAATGTTTTAATTTAGCTTAATTATTTGCCTAATTACAATTTGCATAATTTGATGTTTAATGGAAACACAGCTAGTAACAACCTGCTGAACTAGTATCCATAATCTTATGTATATCAAGTATTCTTTACCATGATTATGCAAGACTCTAGCAAAGCCAATTAGAACATTTCTGCATTACAGTTTAGTTATAGTGTAAAAAAAAAATTCTTATTGATCTTATGTATTTTTAACATTCCCAGAGAAACTCAATTCTGTTTTTAATGGGCACCGTAATAATCTATCTATTTAAAGATAGATACAAGTTTAACTTTTTGTACAGATTCAAAGAAATACAAAACTTTTTAATGTTTTTCTAATTTATTCAGGTGCGCATGTATGATGCTTTTTAGAAGTGAAATTGAACCTGCATTTTGTTTAAACACAAGGAAAGATGTCACCACATTGTGATAAAAATGGGTTCCTTCACATTTTTTTAAATTATGTTTTAAACAGCAAAGGTAGAAAACAGCAGCCTGACTCTGTTAAATGTCGAAGTCAGATGAACAAAGGCTTACACCACAATAACTCGTTGTCAGTTGTTACAAATTCATATTTGGAGTTTAGGTGTTTTTGGTAGTCATTGCGCACTTAAAATGTTACCTCAGGGAATATTTTCAGATGCTGCACCATGTTGCTCTGCCTGATGTTGTGCATGGTGCTGTACTTTGTAACCCAGATGGCGCACCGCTGTATACTTTTTTTTGTTATCAGAGCATGCTTTTTTTGTTCAATAGACAATCCTTATATCAAAACACAAGACAATATTGAGAATGCATTTTAATTGCACAGTCTTTTCAAGTGTGACAACACTGAAAACAATAGCAGATAAAACATCCTGTCCATATGGGTAGAGAAAAGGGAAACATCCAAGTGGTTCATCGCAGATTGTTCTTTTTATTATCATTAACAGTAATGTGATTCTGAGGCCCTCTGTGACCCCATCACAGCAGCTCTTTATCTTAGAAGTCATTCATTAGAACAAACAGAAGGCAGAAAGAGACGGGCAGAAAGAGTCACAGAGAGAGAGAGCCAAGCGTAAAATAAATTAGATTGTTCTTAGGAGACAAGCTACTTTGAGTTAGCAAAAGAGCGCAAACTCAAAGGAGATCCAGTAATTCAGAATGTGGATGTAAAGTTGTTGAGAGGAGCCTGTGATCAAGTTCTGGATTTTGGGCTAAGTGTGTAATCACAGCTTCACTTGATTTAAAGACCCACAGGAAACTCTGAACTGAGCACTGTATGTTTGAGCTGATATTTGGTTAGACTGTGTCTGCTCAAGACTTTGGACTGATTGCAGGCTTTGGTGAGACTAATCAAAAAGCTTCTTATGTCTTCGTCCTCTAATACAAATGGATTGTACACAGTCTCTCTCATATTTTGAGTCGGAATAAGATTTGTTCTCTGGAATGACAAAAAAGGCCATCTTTAAAATGTTTTCAACAATGCAGTCCTTTATTCATCTGCACCCCAAGTGGCTGCTGATCTTATCAACGTTAGAAGACCCAGTAGATCTATATCTATACATAGACCCATACGCTTGTGTAGATTAAAAATAGGAGAAATCTGATAGTGGAGTGGTCAAACACTGATGAGGAAGGAGGGGGCACTGATGTATGGGGGAGGGTGGTAGGGAGGAGAGCCGTGTGGATCCTTGGAGTGGTGTGACAGACTCCCCAGCCTCCTGGTAGGATTTATTGGAATGTGAGAGAGGAGGATTTTAGCACCAGGCGAGCCACGCCAGAGTGTTGCAGACTTCATGCCATCTGTCTCAGCCTCCGTCGTCTCTTTGCCAAACTCCTCAGACCTTTATTTCCTCTCCCTATTTTTCTCCTTCTCATCCCTGTTCACAAGAGTAGTGGACATACTGATATCCGCTAACGTATTGGGGTGGGGGGGCTGGGTGAATTTGATGGCTGGACTTAATGAGCAGACAACAAAAGAAAAAAAGAAAAATGACATGACTAATATGTATTCTTGGAGCTGGTTGTACGACAGCCCTGATGGAGACACAAATGTGTGTCCGAGAGCCCTGCCATTTGTTACGGGACCAACAGGGAAAGAGAGAGTTATTCATACCATAGCAGATCTGTTGATCAGTTAATAACGAAACATGCTCCAAGTGAGAGCCAAGAACTGCTTTAATTCACTGCCCTGTTAAACACCAATCAGCCATAACATTATGACTGTCTGTGGTGCTTTCAAAAAGTATTCAAACCCTTTTAACTTTAGTGTGTTTTTCAGTTTATTTGATAAACAAGTTGAGTAACAGTTGAGTAACAGTTCAAAGGTGGCAGAACCTGCTTGATAGTTTTGAAGAATTTTAGAAATTAAAACCTACAAAGTATGTTGTGCATTTTAAGCCTCCCCAACTCAATGCTTTGTAGAACCCTCTTTAAACACAATTAAATCAGCAAGATGTGTATTTTTAGTATAGATCTTAAAATCCAGAAACAATAACTTATCTATGACTTGAAAAACGTAAGAAAGTAAAACAAAAAACAAAAAAAAAACTTTCTGATAGCAAAGTATATGCTCTGTCCGAAATTCTCCGACTTTTGAAATTTGACAGTGGCATTTTTTTTTTTTTTTTTTTTACTTCCCTGACACCTCTGGGTTAAGGTATGCACTTCTTATGGATTAAGCTGTCTTACAGATGCTATTAGATACCATCAAATGTATCTGGTTGGAATCTGGGGATTTTGGAAGCTCGGTAAACCCTTAAGATCTGCTGTCATGTTCTTTAAGCCATTTTTGTAAGCAGCTTTTAAAGGACCCACTGGGAAGGAGATGTGTTGGGGGGGGAATGAATAGTCTTCAAAACTGTTTACTTCTTTGGTAAATGTCAAAATAGCATGTATTTGAATGGTTTTCTCTGCTGTTTAACATTCTGTTAGAGCAAGATATTACTCACTCCACCTGGCATTGCTCATAATCTTATGAGTGATTGGTGTAAACGGGTTATTTGCTTTACTTAACTTGATCTGTTAAAATGTGGGGAAGATGTTCACATTTCATAATGTGATTAAAATGCATGCCATGAATAATTTTTGTTTTTGATGTCATTATTTTATTAACCGAAATAAGGAAATTGTTGAATGTACTCATGGAAAGGAAAACATTCTAGATAAGAGAGTCACGGTCATATGACACCTACCAGCACCATAGAGAAGAAAATGTAACTCTGGCCAAAAATTGTCAAATCTTTTCATTGTAGACAGTTATGCATTTGCAGGCTATAATTAAATCAAAAGCAGATTTTCACATCAAATGGTGGAGTGATTATGCTATGTTTGTGTGGGACTGATCTCTCACCCTCTCTCTGCATGTGGGTGGCTTGGGAGGAGGCAGCAGGAGATCACAGGGAGGAGCTGTACTGGCTCCATGTCCTTAACCTGTTCGTAGAAGGGTACCGAAGGGTGGGGGCTGAGAAAGAAACATACAGGTTGTCCGATATGGAACACCAGGTGGCAGGAAGTGGGCAGGAGGCCTTTGAAGCCGACCCCTGATCTCTGCACAGAGATGGCCTCAGCGATCAATTTAGCCAGCGATGGCAGGGAAGAGAGCCAGGTGCCCCCAGAGGACCCTCAGACCACTCAGATCTATTATGGACAAAGAGGAGAAAGTCGGCTGGTGCTTGAGCCCACAGCTCCGAGTCACTTTAAAGCCGAAGTAAACTGAATGCCTCCTGTTTATTTGGTTAGCTTTAGTAAAGGACTTGCACTTCTTACTGCTGTCAAATATTGATAACAGCATAGTTTGTACAAACATACAGAGCAGTATGCATCTTTTTGTCTGAATCTGTATTACATTTTATACATGTGTGAAAAGCATGTGAAAATAAAATTTTAAATCAGGTTTCCGAAAAAGCCCTTTCAGACGGAGAATAGAATATGTTTTTCAATTATCTTTTCTTCTATATGCAGTTTGTCCTTGCCAGTGGTCTTTCCTGCTCTGAGAAAAAGTACACATTAGGGTTGTGTGTTCGGGCCAAAAACATTTTACTTTTTATATAAATATTGCAGTTCAGAACGTTCTTGATTCAGCTCTCTACCATCATGTTTATGAGTTTTTTGATGTTCCATGAAAAGTATTTGTCAATCTGCATGTTGCCTTTTACATTAGTTACATTAGTCCAACCAAAATGGATCTAAACAACTAAAGGGAGTTTATTTCCAAAAGAATAGAACATCCCAGTCTCTCTCTCTCTCCAAACTATTATTTTCACACAAGATACTTCGATCAAGTTGGTAATGTTTAAGAAATCTTCGCATTCTAATTCTTGAAAACCTTTATTTCAAGTCGAAGCAAAAACAAAAAATTATAATGAATAAAGCTTAGGACCTTTAATTGCACCAAATCTAATCTGTAGTTTAACATATGAAAAGGGGCTTCTTACAACTACCTTATATAGAGAACTGACTACAGTGACATTATTTCAATGAATTGTCCTTTAGAAATGTTAAACTCTGCTTATAAAGGGAGTTCTAAAATCATTCTTTAGATATAAAAAAAAGCTTAAAAATCAGCATACAGGAGCTATCTGTGTAAATATTTAGATTTACCATTAATTATAATACCTGGTGGCCAGAAAGAAGGAATTTGGGATTAGTAAAACACCCATCCACTGTTTTAATATTATTCACACTGAGTGTCCCATTTCATGATCTTTTGCCACGTATTTTAAAGTCACCCCAGCATGGATAAATATATGAATTTGAGAAAAATGTTAAATTCATGCATGAATCAGACATCCCATTCATATCTTTTATCCTGTACAGCACTAGAAATGTGAAGGCTGCCTTGTATTTTGGCCACAAGCGGAGGAGGTGAGCGCTATCAGTGTCTACATGTTCATCGCCGGTTACATCTGTGTTTACGAACCTGTAAACAGGAGCCAGAACACACTTAAACTCACTGACAGTCACTCCAATTCCGATCCACCTCCCCAACCCTTCAACACTCCTTCTCTTTAGGCAAGGAAATAAAAGCTTGACACTCAGAGAAGGAACGGTTTGAAGAAATTATGATGTGTTTGATTTCCTCCGCAGCCAATGACGTGGAAGTGTTGTGTACTTCCTGCCCTCTGATAGGCCTCCGTCATTCCCTTCATCTCAAGACCCTTGCTGTTCCCTATAATCCCCCTCCTGAACACAAACAGGCCAATCCTGTGAAAGAGCTGAGGGGCTAGGGAGGGATAAAGCAGTCGTGGCTTGGATGGGGTGAGGGATGTGGTTCAGACGGAGAAAAAGCAGTCCCAGAAGCTGGTGGTGATGTGAGAAGAAGCCAGTGTGTTATTATTAATAAAGCATTAAAAAAGAGAGCACATCAAAGCATACAGAGGCTATGCTATCTTACATGAAAGTAGCCCACTATGGCTTAATGTTTCCTAAGGCGTGTTACGGTGACGTTGCTTTGATTTGAAATGCATTGTGTGAAAAATGGATTTACAGGAGTGCAGTGGGAATACCTGGTGTGGGTTCAGACCATAATTTAAAACCTGACCTCATAGGATCTTCAAAGTGAGAGCGGTGATGTTTTAGGCATCTGTGTAGTATGTGTGAGGTCCTAAACCAAAGCTGTACACACAACAAATAAACACCAGCCAAGGATGTGGGTGACACCTGCAAAAATAAGAAAAAAAGACTGTAACATTGTCACATATGTGTCATTCCTTCTGCTAATAATTAGAAATGATTAGAACTTATTGTAATACAATATTTGACATTTTTTTCTCCAGTTAAAGACTGTCAAACTAATTATCTTGTGCTGCTTTGCCAATCAAGGCCTAGAGGAAGTGGGATTTTTTTTCCCATTGTGCCCTAGTGGAAAAGGTAATTATCATAATCTACCTTCCTCTTGTGCTCCAGCTCCGCTACCACACTGGTTCAGACCACCTCCGAGGTTTCATTATCAGCGCTGGGACTCACTAATGGCTTGATGGCTTCAGTGTTCTGGCTGCTGGAGAGGAGAATCCAGGGAAGACGAAAAGAAAACCAAAGGTGCCATGGGAGGAGTGTAGAGGCACAAGGAAAGGGGGAAATATGAGATGTGAAAGAGAAAGGGGTTAACGTGAGTACAATACTCTGACATCCAACTGCTTTCCTTTAAAGCAAGTGGAGACTGGTGGAGGATGAAGCAACAGGGCAAAACTAATGTCAAAGAGCCGGTCGGGAGATCCGACAAAGTGCTCTCTGCGCGCCTGGATGACCACGTCTGGAAAATGCTTGAAGTGTCTAAATGTGCCTCCCATACATCCACACCTTACATGTTTGCAACAGCTAACCTCACAACATGCAGGAAGACTGGAGGAGGGAATTCAGTTTCACTTTTTTTTTTTTTTTCCAAACAAATGACACCATGACAGTTGGAAAAAATGTTGGGGTCCCTCAACAGATTTCTCAGTTATAAAAATAAAATGTGTTGGATTAGACAAAGACAGACATTTTATATTCTACTTTTGAACCCCAACGAGAGCACTGACAAATGCCACCCCACCCCCACTCCGTCTGTGCCATGATTGTTGTTTTTTTTTCCCTTCTCTCTCGCGCCAGAAATGTCATATAGTTAGGAGGTGATAATTCTATATGGCACAAACAGACACTGATTTCTCCCAAGTGTATGTATAGCATATAGGCTGACAGATTGAGATGGTGTTTGTCTTTGCATCATGCTAAACTGGCATACAGACTTTAGGCTTTTTCTATAAGGTGAGGTTGTAAGCATAGAATAAGAAATTGGGTGGAACCCTAAAGAATATTTACCATTACATGTTAAAAAAATATGTATTCACATGTTAGAGATAGAATAATAATAATCCAGAAAAAGTATTGATACATAGCTAATTTCATGCTGGGGATGTTGGTGTGTATGTTGAGTGTGAGCAACAGTGTTCATATCATATGTCAGACGCATATTGTAAATGCTAATTATGTCAATTAAAATATAATGCATGGTTTGTTTACATCTGTCAAATATAATGGATTGTTAAGTCTGAAAATATTATTTTAATTCTTTATGATTATAGTTTGAGTGTAGCAAATAGGTCCATTCAGTAACTGTCAGCAAATGCGAGTAAATAGGCAAAATACAGGAGCATAAGAATCAGAAAACAAGCAGTACTCATTCAATGACTTTGATTTAACAGGTGTAATTATTCTAAATATGAGGAAATATTTTGACAATAAAAATCCATTATAAATCAAAGTAGCTGTGGTGTCCTTTAAATGTTGGATCCAATTCTTGATGGCTATCCCTTAACCTATAGTCCCCTCTCTTCTTTGGCGTTAATTAAGTTCAGAAAGTTGTGACATATTTCCCTGAAAAAATGCCCTACCTCTTCACAAAGCTATATAATCATGGCTATGTATACAACACAAAACATCTATAAACTAATAAAACCTGATGTTTTATTCCTGTTACAATGCCAGCATAGATTATCTTTATGTTTGCTAACAAAAACATTATTGTTTTCAAGAGTAACCTGGTAAATACACTTTTATGTGTATGTACACAATATTGTACGTGATTGTTCCAAAAGAGCAGGATTTTAGAAACCTTAAAAAAATATTTTAAGTATACAAATGATTTGTTGGTTTGTGAGACTACTTAAGCATGTCAAAAGTTGATATACTTGGTACTTTTTTTTTTACTAGAAGATGTTTTTAACTTAAGCATCAAGTCAAACCTTAAAGAGTTGTTTTTTTCTCTCTCTTTTTTAATAATTTATCTCAAAAGGAGGAATACTACCGTTTTTGTGTTTCTAACTTGTTGATAAATAGGGAATAATTTCAAATAAAACGTCTCAATATTCAATAAACTAAACATTTTAACTGTTGCTTTGTAAATTTGTATATACTGTCTAACCATATAGGAAGACAGGCAACATTTTGTTTTCTCAATTTTTTTACACATTGGCTAATAAATAACTATTTTTTAGTTCAACAGTCAAAATGTTTGCTGTCATAAAAACACAGTGTAGTAATGGATGCACAATATAATTTACACAACTAATATCCATGATTAAAGTCATGCTGCATGGTTAATCCTGAGAACACTATTCTAATGTTTTAATCTAAGAAAAACCATCAGTACTGACAATTTGCATTTTTACAAGCTCAACATAACATTAGAAACATATAATTTAATATCACTAAATTACAGGCAATGGCCACTGATGTGACTATTTCTATACAGCAAGAAGGCACTGGGTTAAAATCCTGACCTGAGATCTCTCTGAATAGAATTAGCAAGATCTTCATGTGCATGAGTGACTTCTTTCCATGTATGCAAGCTTTCTTCTACAGGGTAAAATAATGAATATTAAGTTAATTGACTATTCTAAACCTCCTCCCATAAGTAGGACTGTGTTCATGCCTAGTTGTGTGTGTCTTGTGTGTCTGTTATAGAGAAAGCCATAGCCATCTCTTGGTAAAAGACTTATTTTTTATATATAAATTTGCTTAACTTTTACTCTTCTAAAATAAAGTAACCAATTATTGAATTATCGATTCAAACATGTAAAATATTTTGCAAATTGAGTTTTATATTTCAGAAAAGGTAAGGATGAATAGTAAAATAAACATCATTTATGATCCATAAACTGAGCAACTAACTTTATCTTGTTTTAAAGAAAGTGTTTAGATGTGGAAACCTGCATCTAGGCACTTTATGTGAATGTCAGTTTGACACTTAGACAACACAGACTTCAAGATTGCTGCAGTGCAGCCACACCCCTGACAAATACACCACCTGTCAATCCAGTGTGGGACTGAAGATTCACTTGCCAGTGTCCCAGTATCAGACAGCCCACAAGACAAACAACATAAATTAAAGTGACAGTAAACAGGCATGTTAGGGCTCAAAAGGTTCTGAATATCCTGTGTGTCCTAAAATTGTTGTCAGGTGTCACTTGCAGTCATTTTAGTAAGTGGGTTTAGGTGCAGACAAGCATGAAAATGTGTTTTTATTTATTTATATATGTTTCTGAGAGGTATTGTGATGAAACATGATGCTGAAACAGTCTTATTTCAGAGGATTCAGAATTTGAAACCTGCTATAAATAAATATGCTAAACTGGTTCAGCTGAGTTTGTTGAAGAGAAAATGAGGAAGATCCCTATTCGCTGTTATTTTTTTCCTTCAAAAATGTTTCAATTACTCATGGAGATAATAATAATAATTATTATTATTATTGTTATTATTGCTGTTGTTGTTATTATCAGTTAAGTAATTAATTAATGTATGAATTTATTTATTTTAATAAATGATAAGAATAACAGAGAACATTTTTAGCAGTGCAGGTGCTGAGAAATGTGACAAATACTGCAGTGCTTGATGCCGAACAGAATACACCTGGCACAAAGAGATGGGACACAGTTTTTCCTATGAAAAGGAAAACTCAGGTGCTTCCATAAAGGGATCCAGAAGGAAAATAAAACCCTTTTTCTGCCTCTGTTGTTTGTTAAAGCCAAAGTAGGAAACAGCTAGAATGAGCTTTCCTTACAAGGACACACATGGAACAAACGGTTTATTTCAATCCTGTAAAGTAGTGTAAAAACAAAAACAGCACAGGCAGGGAACATAGCAAGCAGTTTGCTTTATTTTGATAACTGCATAGATATGTAATATATTGATTGAATGATTTGTTTCACTTAAATTTGCACCTTAGAATTTAACGGAATAAAATGCAAAGCCTATGTGATTCAAATGTAAAAGGTCTGACCCAAAATAAGCATAAAGGACAATTAAATCAAGAACATTAAACAGGCATTAATACATTAAAAATTAAATAATGCAATTCAAAATCCTCATAGCCATCATTAACCATGCACACAATTAATTGCTAGTTATTTTAAAGCAGAGTAAAGTAGTTGAGCAGCAATAAATTCATTAGTGCAGCTGGAAACTAATTATGTGTTTAGTTGTGTGATATCACAAGGGTAAAGGTTTAGTTTCAAATAGACAGCATAGGTAGATAACTGGCATTTTAGATACAAGTGCAATTAGTAAAGAGGGAAAAGTGACTTCAGAGTATTTTTCATGAAAATATAAAATTAAACATATGTATTAGCTTAATGTAATTTGCTCTCCATATATACTTTACCCAAACTTAGCTGACTGATGCAAATCTGATCTGTCAGTCATTTCCTTCATTTCCATTTGATGATGGAAAAGTACACAGTAATTTGTACAATAAGAAGAAAGAGATACTAGCAGTGAGGTATAACTCATTACAGGGCCTTAGCTCAGAAAAACCACCAGGGACTTTCAGCTTCATTAATAAAATTTTGGCTCCACCAACAATAGTTGTCATTTTATTGAAGAGTGTCTCTAAGTACATCAAACTGTGAGTAATATGGTGCAGGATGCAGAACTTGTGTCATACTTACTTAAATGGTGTAGAAACATGGTTTATTTAATAATGAAGATTTATTTCCTTTATTTTTTTATTTCTTCCTACTTATGTTATTTGGGGAAACTGGACTAGCTCAGCGTTTTAATGGATCTTTGTAGACTTGAATTGGTTTCTGGTTTTGCTTTGAGGCCTATGTACCGAATGAATGTCTGTTTTAAGCCAAATGGTTTTACTGGATATGTGTAAAACAACAAAGACTGACTGAAAACAACTGCATTCCACTTTTTAGATTTCAGTTTTCCCAGAAAAATAAAAACCAATAATTGTTTTTCATCCGCTGTACAGTTATGCTGTAGTTTATGACAGATTGTTATAAAATTTATGGTTAAAATAGATGAAAGTTGATGGCTGAAACCTGATTAAATATGAAATTATTTTAAGGGATGCAAATGTTTATTTGCACAGATTTAAATGACAATCTACGTATATCAATCGATTTTAAATGTGAGTCTTGTCCTTTGCAAAAGCAGTTGAAAGTTCTTAGATGTTTTAAAGGCAAACTGGAGTTAAATAAAGAGGTGATCAAAGAAGTAATGTGTTGGATCACTGGCTGATCAAGCTGATCACTCTTTCTGGAAGACAAGGCTGATACAGAATCATTAATATGGACTTTATTGAAAATACAGAACTGAACCTTTTTACTCCAAGTGACACTCCACCAAGCTACATTATACTTTTGTACAGCTGCCAAGACAAATGCATTCATCATAGTAATATGTGATAAAAGCAACATAATGAGGCCTTTTCTGTTGTTGTTGTTTGAAAACAGGTTGCTGCTATTTAATCCCTAAAGCTGAATGGAGGAAGATGGATGTTGCAAAAGCTTGCATAAGTCTTGAGGGATTTCAAAATAAGACTCATAGATCCTTTAAAAATTAAAATCTTACTGTTTTGATGGTTGGGTTGCTGAAATTAAGTTCCTTAAAAGGCCTTAAATCCCAAATTTGATTTGTGCTGGACCCAAATCAGCAATAAAAATTTGATTTGTGAACATGGCAGAAAACAGTAAGTGGCAGGGGCCTTCACAATTTCTGCAGGAATTATCCTAATACTGTTTGGTGTCATGGATGGCATACAGATATGTTATGCAATTTTTGGAGACCTAGAATTACATTATTTGTTGTTTACATTGTTTAATGCAGAGGAGTTACATGACTGGATTAGATATTTAGTTAACAGCATGTTGCATTGAATCGGACTGTTTCTCTATGTTTTAATACAGGGTTATGGAAAAAGTAAAGCAAGAAACCTTGGATGAACCACTTGTCTTTGTTGTCCTTGGCAAAGACACACTAAACAGCAGAGTGTTAATACTTACTTTACCTTAAAAAGCCTGAGCAAAGTTTTCCTTTCCCCCTTCTTGCAAATGTGTGATTCTCCTCAGAATTCAGAAAACAGTGGGTGAAATGCATAGGTTTATTCTGAAGTCCCTTTTCGGCAGTTAGTGAGGTGTGCTTTCAGCTTTATAAAGGAGTTAGTCATTTAGTCAAACAATGGGAGAGCATTAACAGATGCCAATGCAGCAGTACCAGTCAACAGTCAAAGTCAATACACCCTACTGGGCTGCATGCTTTTCAACAAACACAAGCGATTTCTTTTAAAGACCTCAGCACCAGATAGAAACATCAATTACAGTAAATTACACCAAAACATTGTGTAACTCTTCAATTTGTTTAATCTTTCAAGCTTTCTGAGCTGTTTTTCGATGAAAGCAAAGCAGAGGAGAGCAAACTAAGATTACATTCAATAGCCCTAAGATGCATTACACATCCAGCTCTGGTCATGCAAATGCATAGAATATAAGTTATTTATGTTTTTGAATCCAAGGACTTCCTTTGATAGTATTTATTTACACTCGGAAATGGCTTATCAATGTTTTCCTTTTGCATAGCTTAAATTTCCTATTAAAGTGTGGAGCACTCTTCAGCAGCCTTGTGACTATCCAAATCAAAT